TCTATAATCCAAAGAATTATACATGATTGATATATAATAGAAATGAGAATTTTAAAGTAATTTGAATTGATTTTATTCTTCTAGTCTTACCTTGTGATGGATCAGAATTGAACTTTTCATCCACTATATGATTCATCATTGAAACTTTACGAGGGTGGCAGACAAATTCGCCACCAAAATCCCAAGAAAGGCCAGGAAAATCATTACTTGTTGCATTCTTCTTGTCAAACCTCAACCAGAGCACATTTTCCAACCATTAGTGTTAACGCATTCTCCGCTCATGAGCTGGTATTCTTGCAAATTGTCCTGATGAGTTTTGTTTTTAATTCTTACACGTGTTATGAGTACCACAAGCAATGCCATCAAGTGTCTCTTGGTCCCCAATACGTTTTGAACTGAACTACCTGCTAGGTCATTTCACAGGACAATTCATAGCCAACAATTTTAGTGTGGATCTGCAGTCACTTGTAGATTTCCTTGGTCATAGTGAACCATATGGGGTTTCACATCAGTTGGTGAACGTTGTAAGGTATTTCTGGTGGCAAGATTTCAGTTCCAGGATTTTTCTTTAATCTTAACTGAATTCACATCCCACCAGCTCCCGTGGTCAGATTCTGTCCCCAGATCATTAGTTGGTATCTTTGGATTACCACCTAGTGCCATTACTCCACTGTTTCTTCACGAATGTAAGTCATCAGGTCCATGAATGGATCAGCCTTTAATCCTACTAATTCCTGTAGTACTTCCTCTGTCATGATAATGATGCGTTCATCCCTCCCTTTTTCCGACTGATCTTTTATATTATCAGGGTGTTTATGATATATTTGACCATGAAGACCATTGCAAAATATTTGATCAAATTCCTGCCATTTCTGCATTCCCATGTCCCATTCTCTGACTGACCAATAATTAATTAAGTTCTGAGGAAGGGTCACTGGACCAGAAATGTTAAGTCTGATTTCTGTCCACAGAAGCTGCCAGACCTGCTGAGCTTTTCCAGCAATTTCTATTTTCGTTTTTGATTTCCAGCATCCGCAGTTCTTTCGTTTTTTTATTAAATTAGGTACTCTCTTCCTCTTCATATACTTGCAGGAGCTCTTGCAGACTGTTTTACGTTTCTTGCCAGTTCGCCCTCATAATCTGTATTTTGTCCTTATTTTTTGTCATCTCCTGGTTTTTAAATGTTTTCCAATCTTCTGAATTAATTCTTGCTAAGTTGTATGCTTTTTCTTTTAAATCGATCCCATCCTTAACTTCCTTAGCTACAGATGGGTCATCCACCTCATAGTTTGTTCATGAAACTTATCTCTATTAAGAATTATAAAGTATCTCCTTAGATGTCTCCCACTGCTTATTGCTCGCTTACCTATTTGCACACTCCATTTTAGACAAATCTTTCTTCCTAAACTTCTAATTGGCTGTGTTTAAGTTCAGAAAGCTAATTTCAGCCTCATGTTTTTCGCTCCTCAAGCTGAATATGAAATTCATCGTGTTGTCATCGCTTTCCCTTAGAGGATCTTTTAACAATCATTAATCATTTGATTAATCAATCTAATTATACATTAACAGATTTAACATAGCCTGTCCCCTGGTAAGATCTGCAACATATTCTTAAAAGAAATTATTTGAAATGATCTCTATGAGCTCATCCTCAAGGTTTCTTTTGCCAATTTGGTTTCTCTAATGTATACAGTAAGTTTCAAGTTATCCACCCATACTACAGCACCTTTCTAACAAGCTCCTATTACATATTAATTCATGCTCTATCCAACAATGTAATTTCAGTAAATGACCCTATGAAGTTACCAGCAGTAACTTCTTTGCCTTTCTTTTTAATCTTTACCTAAACTGATTCTTTATCCTGATCTCCCAAGCCAAGATTATTTTTCTCACCCCTCCTTATCAAAGCCAGACTAGCTCATGTTACTTTATGCTTATCTTTTTGAAATGCCAGCTATCCCTGAATATTCAATTTCCAGATTTGGTCATTACTCTGTAACAGCTATCAGATCATGCCTAATTATTCCTATTCATGGCATCTATATTTCAGCTATCTTGTCATAAATGAGGCATTCATTCAAATAAACTATCTTTAATTTTGACTTTTTTACAGTTTTTCCCTCTTCTGACCTTACGAATTTGCTGTCCTTCACTATTGTTTTATTCTTGTTTTCTTTAACTTTATAAATTTCCCCTCACCTGAACTGCCATGTATAATTTAGTTTATATAATCATAGCTGTAGAAGAAGTTTAATGCACCAGGACCCTTGTTACAGTATGATTTGGATGAAAGTTGTCCCAACAGTGTTGCTGCTTTTCCTAGTACTGATGCCCATAATTCGAAACGAATGTCTCCCACACCAATCTTTGAACGATCTTTGATTGTAACAAGGTGAGCCAGATGGACCTAATAGAATTTGAGTTTCCTGATTGGGTCTGTTCATCTGAACCAATCAGGGAGCCCTGGCTGACAGAAATAAACAGGAGTGTTAGACATACTGACACTCTGAGAGCTGGCTCTGAGGGAGCTAGATCAGTGTCAAGGACTCTCCCCGTGTAAATAAAGGGTGACTTGGTGACAGGATGCCAGTCCCTATGGAGTTATTTCAGTGGCAAGGAGAGTAAAGCACACTGGAAAAAAATTACTCGCAACAGTCATCTTTGATTTCTGGCGTCATATCGTTATTTGGGAAGCTTGACTAGTTCGGTAATGCCATTGAAGACTGGGCCCAGTATGTGGAAAGGATGCATTATTTTTTCCAGGCAAATGACATTGGGGCAGAGGAAAAGCAAGACGTAATTCTCCTGACAGCTTGTGGACCCGCAGCTTTTTTGGTAATTAGAAGCCTGACTTTCCCTGAGTCACCAGATACTAAAGCCTTTCAAGAATTGACAGATTTAGTTAAGGAATGTTACGATCTCAGTCCTTCTCTAATTTTGGGATGTTGTTGGTTTTACTCAACAATTTGAGAACTAGAGAATCCGTATCAGGATTTTTGATGAGGTTAAGATGAATGGCAGAGGCATGTGTCTTTGGCTTATCCCTTAATGAGATGCTGAGAAACCAGTTGGTATGTGGGATTATGGATGTAACCATAAAAAAAAGCCTACTAACTGAAGCCCAACTGGACTTCAAACAGGCATTACAACAGGCTTTATCATTGGAAAATGCGGCAAAATGGAGCATATGAGTTGCAGGGTATTCTGATGGAAGTGGACACCCTTCTCAGTCTGATTGAGCTTGGAGAACACCACTTGAGTGTAGACAATTGCATAGCCTCACTCAGGACATATCCTGAACAGAGGGACTCGAGGTCAGCCCACAGCAAAACAAAGCCAAGCCTCAGCCAAACAGTTAAAATTTTCTTCAGGATCCAGGCCGGCGAGCCATTGTAGTTGCTGCAGGTATATAGATTTGAGACAGCAAAAGAGTCCCATTAGACCTAACTGGAGTAAGAGAGCTCATAGGCCGGCATCCAGGAGAGTGCACACCCTGGAAAGCCCTTCCACATCTGGTTTGGAACAGTTACATTGCTTCTGATTTGACATTGTTAAGCAATCAAAATAAACATCTGATTAAATGGCCACCTGGTTCTTTAACAGTCTTTAACAAAATTCGCTCTGGACTCCAATCCTTAAATTTGTATAGGTTCTCAGCTAGGCTGAGAACCCATACCAGGGAACCTTTACAGATTAAGGGTACAACTTCGGTTCCAGTCTCTTACGAGAAACAGCTGGCTCAGTTACCACTGATTGTAGTAAATGGCTCGGGCCCAAGCTTGATGGAGCAAAATTGGTTGAGAAAGATTCACCTCGATTGACTCAACATTTTTCAATTAGAAAATGGCTGCCTGAGTGAAGTCCTAATTCAATCCCCAGACACTTCTCAGGAAGGTCTACAGACTATCAAAAGAGTCAAGGCCACCTTACATGTTGACCAGGAACCAATTCTGTTTCTTTTAAATAGCTGTGCATTTTGGATTCCAAAAATGTCCTAGATTTGTCCAAAAATAACATCATTGCTGAGCTATAGTAATTCCAACCTTGCCCAGTGATTTATTCTTACACTATTTTAAACTGTATCTTGTTCATGTACCCAGTAATCAGGACATGCTGTGAGCTCTGAACTTTGGTCACTTGTTTCTATGACAGGTACAATAAATATTGGTTAATTTCTTCCCAGCAACACCAAATACATTATTTTAATACTGTAAAGAAAAGTAATTGGAAGCCATATCACATAACAATTCATGTGCAAATTTACTTTGATTATTCTTGAATATACTCATTCAATTTGTCCTATTGCTGAAAAACCAAATGTCTTCTAAAAAAGGAACTTTTCTCATTTAGCTTGCCTATATTCTTCGTAATTACAGCTTTCAAATTGTATTTTTCTGTTAATTATGATCCTCTGAGTTATGCAAAGCAGGTTCTAGTAAATCTTCCACAAAACCTTTTGCAGGAATCTTTTGACATTTTCCAAATGGAATTTCTTAAACCCAACTACTCAATGTTGCTTTCAGTTCACAGGACTTTCCAACCCAATTTCAAATAAAGTATGCTGTAAATCATTCTCTTCATCTTAATTTTCTCTGTAATTACATATGTGAAGTTTCCAGTAATTTCATACGTAATGAATGTGTAAAACTACATTTGTAACCTTTATTAAAGCCAACACTGTAAAATAATTTGCAGATCATTAGCGTAGAGTTGAAGAAAATTATGTGCCAAATGTATTAAATTAAATATAAGATTTAATTTCTTTCGAAATTGAGCTTGGAAAAATCTGGTTTTCAAAATATACTAGTTTACTTGTTTCTCCCAATGTTACCAAATTAAACATTGTGTGGTCTTCCTGTATATTCTACTAATAATGGTGCAACATATTGCCCTAAAATGCTTTCTAACTAGCCGAATTCTGCATTAAATTTCATGTGACAAATAGCTGTATTTGGGAACCAAAACTTTCCTGATGATCTGCAATTGTGTCTCCATTTTAGCTTATCTTTTACTATGGATATAATGATCACTGGTGTCCAATCACATATTATGAAGATATGAAGAAAAGCTTTCCTGAAGGAACCATTCATCTCTGCCAAAAAGGAATTCGTCATGCCTTCGTTTTGGATGCAAATTTAGAGATGGCTGAAATGCTTACAGACTGGTTATGTATGGATCTAGCAAAGTTGTTATAAAGCCTTTATTATGTTTATAATGTAAAATTTAACAGCTTTTTGAATTTGAATTATATGTTGCATTAACATACTCTTGTACATCTGTTATGTTTTTGAAACTGAGCAGTGGTTAGCTTATTTAAACAAAAACAAACTACATTTTAGACATATCTTGCAGGTGGGACTGGAAAAATAATTCACTGTAATGACTGTTTGGTTACAAAAGCTTTGAAAATATTTGTGATTGCGCTATAATCTTTGTATCCATGTCCAGACCCAATCTGAGTAAGCTTATTTCATATCAGGATCGTTCTTGTGGGCTAACATTTGTTAGCATTCACAGTCCACTTTTAGTTCATTAGGTTAGTTTTAGATTTCTGTCTAAAGAGCAGTGTAGATTTGGTGGAAAGTATAGATGTAACTCTACCAAACCACAACAAGGGAAGCTGCTACAATGTTAAATCATCCTGCTATGCTTTTCAAATTCACATTTCTCAGGTCTCACCTGACCAGGAACTTGTCAAGACCTAGTCAGCCAGTAAGATACTTCCAAAAATAGGTTGTTACAGGTACTGACATACGTGTAAAATAAATTACAAAATAAAGTGCTGCAGCGATGATATTGAAAAGGACTTTTTTCCGTCTGGAACAGCTACGCTATGAATAATGCCCAGTGGAACATAGCTTTTGTCTTTGATTATTAACTCTGTTTATTAAACGTCAAACTGTAGAAATTCATCAAAACTGCATCTAATTGTTTTAATATTCACTCACAGGATGTTGGAATTGCTGGCTAGGCAGCATTTATTGCCCATCCCTAATTGCCCAGAGGACAGCTAAGGGTCATTCACATTGTTGTGGGTCTGGAGTCACATGTAGACCAAACCAGGTAAGGATGGCAGAAATCCTTACCTAAAAACCCGATAGGTTTTTTACCAACCATCTACAATGGTTCCATGGTCATTGTTAAAATCTTAATTCCAGATTTTTATTGACTTCAATTTCCACCATCTGCCATGATAGGATTTGAACCCAGGTCCTAAGAACATTACCTCGGTCTCTAGAATAATAGTCTACCAATAATACCACCAAGCCATCACCAGAAGCAGATCTAGACTCGAAACATTAGCTTCCTGTCTCTCCACAGATGCTGCCTGACCCGCTGTGATTTCTAGCACTTTGTTTTCATCACCACCTTAACGTTCTACATAGAAACTTTATTTGATTGTGTATTTTAGCCCCAACTTTATTTCATCTTTTCATTCCTGTTCTATCTTTCTAGGTAGAGAACAAACTGCAAGGCTCCTTCAGAGCCACGTCTAAAGTATTTGTAACTAAAGGAGCAGCTACCATACCATGTCCCTTAACTTTTCCTTCTCTTGCTGCAGAGAACTAACTGACCTTTACTGGCAGCACCTCACTCTCAAGATATTAGGGCAAAAAAGAGATTATTGGCCTAGATGTTCTGTCCTTGCTTAGCTGATCCTTCAGCAGATTCGAGAGAATGCAGAAATTTCCTTATCGATTCACTTTGCGGATTCTGCATCCACCTCCCTTGTCCCCATTCCACAATTCTCCAACACTCTTTTCTTTCTCATAGTGAATTGACGCAAATTGCGACCTTTCTTACTTGGGCATTTGTAAACATATTCATTTAAAATAAGCAAAATACAGTTTCTGCTGTTAGACCCACATATCCTGAACTAAGATCACTGAAAAGGCTTCAGAAGCTTCAATCGAGAGGGATTCTCAGAGTTTGGCAAGCAGCAAATGAGCTACCACTGTCTCCTACTGCAAGAGATGCCTTGAACATTCTGGAACACTCCTCCACCATGACTTGATCTAGTACAGCTCCCAAAAGCAGGCCAGAACTCATCTTCCAAGCACAACTGGGTACAGTGACAGAAATGAGGCTGCGTTTAAATAGAACCGTTAAATCCTTTCAGCATAGAAAGAGATGTTAAGGGTTAGATCGGGGCTAAGGGTGTCAGGTGTTTGGAGTAGATTTGGGTCCAGGGTTTGGTTTGGGACTCCATGGAGTCAGTGGAGGCAGGGTGTAGGTGCATGTTGTATACTTTGTCGTTAAAGTAGATTTTCTTTCCATGGCTAACCATTAAATGGATCAGAACCCTCTCAACTTGCTCATTCCAACTCACAGTTTGGTACTTTCTCAGAGGGTTCCAAATCTATTGGCGATTCCAGCTGCCACACAGCCCCATACACATCTCCTATCCACACTTCAGCAATGACTATCATCCTATTGGGAAATCAGGGCCAAGGTTCCTTCTTTAGGCCCGAATTAAAATACCTGCCAGCACTGACGAAATTCCCTCCAGGAAGCAAACAACCGCAAAAGAGGTTCATTACACAACCTGGCCTTCCCTCCACAATGCAGTCAAATACTTTAGACAGTGGAGCATCCCTTGCCAAGACAAGGGATTTATTACATTTCATGTCAAAAGCAAAGAAGGCACTTGCTTCACATTTACCACATTGAGAGCTCTGAGAGTGAAGGGGTGAAGGGATATGAGAGGTAGGGATGTGGAGGGCTCTGAGAGTGAGGGAAGTGGAGGGATATGAGAGTGAAGGCTCTGAGAGTGAGGGAGGTGAAGGGATATGAGAATGAAGGATGTGAGAGTGAGGGGTTGAAGGGATATGAGAGGTAGGGAAGTGGAGGGCTCTGAGAGGTAGGGAAGTGGAGTTTTCTGAGAGGTAGGGAGGTGGAGGGATATGAGAGGTAGGGAGGTGGAGGGCTCTGAGAGTGAGGAAGGTAGAGGGCTCTGAGAGTAAGGGAGGTGGAGGGCCCTGAGGGTGAGGGATGTGAGACTGAGGGAGGTGGAGGGCTCTGAGAATGAGGGATGTGAGAGTGGGGATGTGGAGGGATGTGAGAGTGAGGGAGGTGGAGGGCTGTAAGAGCGAGTGATGTGAGAGTGGGGATGTGGAGGGATATGAGAGTGAAGGATATGAGAATGGTTTTCCAAGTAATTTTTCTCTAGGATTAGTGACTGTTTTAAGTTCGTCCATTCCTTTGTTCCCTTGATGATCTGTTATTATTGGGATACTTCTTGTGTCCTCTGCTACAAACATATACAAAACATTTATTATGAAAATCCTCTGCAAGTTCTTAGCTTCCCAATATTAGTTCACCAGCCTTATACTCTAAGGGACCAACTCTAGCTACTCTCTTCCTCTTTGCATACTTACAGAAAATGTTACTGTCTGTTTTTATATTTCTTGCCAGTTTTGCTTAAACTCATAAATGTTCCCTCTCTATTATTTTGTAATTATTCTTTGCTTATTAATTTTCATTTGCTATCTTCTTCACAGCATTGTTTGGCTTTTCTTTCAATTTGATATCGCCCATGCCTTCTTTAGTTAGCTGTGAATAGTGCAATCTTCTCATAGACTATTTGTTTCTCAATGGTTATGGCATATTTTACTTTATGACACCCTAGAATAGTCACATTCTGCACAGAAATCTAAATCTTAATCTGACAGTAATGAAGCATTGCACAGATGTGGGTTGGGCTTTTGTCCTTGAAGAGATCTGAAGTGTGCAAGCTGCATGGCACAGTTTTAAATGACCCCATACAATCTTGCTTTTGAACTACTAAAGTACATTTGTATGCGAGCCCTGTGATGTTCAAATTCCTTGGCACAGCAGTTGAAGGAGCACTTGAGCTTGTTCTTGGGCCAGAAGACTGCCTTTCTTGCATCTGCACTTTTTCACCCTCTGTCGTACACATTCTTTCCTCAAATATTTCCTCTTACAACTTGCCAGAAGTGAATATAACCATGCTGATCACTGTAAAGTTGTCACTGTAAAGTCCTTAGATTGCATCTTGTTGCTTTTGCAGGGATTCACCAAAACTGCAAACCTAAATTTGTTATCCATTATTACATTCTCCCTGTTTTGAAAGTAGGATTCGTTGCACATCTCATCTTCTTCATAGAACCTTAAAATCACATTGGATTGAAAAGTATCAGATTCATAGCACCACTAATATCCAAGCAATGGCATAACGTTATTAATTGTTTAAACTTTCATCAGTGCTTCCCTCTCAGGGTCAATTGCTGAATGTAATCATGACACTGAAGAACTCAATCACTTCAGATTTTAAATTTTCTAGATATTTCATTTGCATTTCCAGTGTGGATTGAAGGAATCATTGATCAGTTCCGTTGATATGTCTGCTCTTAGTATACAGTAAAGGGGAAATATGTTGTAGAAGATGAAAGAAAATTTCCATAAAACTCTTTGAGGGCTGTCTAACAGATGGATGAACACAAAAAAATTACAAAGCAGATATAATGCAATTAACAGCATGATACTTGTAAAGACAAGACTGAGCTGGATCAGGGCTGTGTGTGAGCTTAATGCAATGACAGTCCAACAGATGAGATTTGTTGCATTGTAAATCAAACAAAACTTCCAACATATGGGTCTGTAAGCATTTCCTTTGTGTGTCCTTTCAGCTCCAAATGTAAGGAAGCAGATTAGACCATGAAAGAAAAATTGTGGAACCAGTCACTTTTTTTATGATAAATTTTGGGATGTCTTCCATTTGTACTATTCAGTTGATTTTAATTATTGCAGATGTCATCCACCAATTATTTCAAGTAAAATGTTCTCATTTTCTGCCTGTGCACAATTTTCTAGTCATGTGTTAAATCAAAGGCATAATGATTAATGCCAAAATGTCTTAATATAATGTCTTACTTAGACAGATGCTGACAAGTTATTTACTGGGAAACATTTGGGCCCAACAGTCCTTCTGACATTCTTCTGCAAGGATAGATGCTAAGGAAATGCAACATGTGGACAATTTAGACCAAGGTTTATATTTTAAAAATGGAAACCTCTTTGGGATGTGTTCTGCTGATTCGGTGTTGATTTTTCAGCACATTTGCTCAGATTTTGCTCACTTGCTGTGGCATTTACGTCTTGTAGAAATGCCGTCAAGAGTTTTAACTGCATGGAAAATAAGGCTAAACTTATGAAATAATTGCACAGAGGCCAGTATCCCATCACCAAATCACCCTTTGTTCACACATGCACATTCGCACACTAGCTGGCTCAGAGTCAGTCCTGAGACTGAGGAGACTCTCTGAATCTCCTGTTTATATCTATCAGCCAGGGCTTCCTGATTGACCCAGCTTGAAAAACCCAGTCAAGGATCTCATAGTCAATGACATCCACCTGGCTCTCATTCCAATCGCTACAACTTAGAATAAGGCTTTTGTTTACAGCAATCTCTAGGTGAAAGGCACAAGTCCCACCTAATTGCAATAGCGTTGGAAAGAGGAATATCCCACCCATGAAATTACTCAGTCTAAGGATTTCAAACGTGGCTGAACATCCTGTATGCCAGAATGATGTTAAATAATTAAGAATTTCAAGTATCAGGTTCGAAAACATGCATCCAAAAGTGAACATTTAATCAAAGTCCGCAGTTCTTCATAATGTGCAAGCTGTCAAAAGTATATGCTTTAACTACCTGTGAACAAAATTAATACATTTTTGCACATTGTAAGCCTAAGTTTAAAGAAGAGAAACAAAACCAAAATCTGGGAGATGAACGACCAATTCTTTCATCTAAATAGAGTCATAGAAATATACAGCACAGAAACAGACCCTTCGGACCAACTCGTCCATGCCGACCAGATATCCTAAGTAAATCTAGTCCCATTTGCCAGCTTTGGCCCATATCCCTCTAGCCCTTCCTATTCATATATCC